CGCCCCACACTTTGGGAACCTCTGCTCAAAGGGAAGAGCACAAATTGAGTGTTTAAGAACATATTACAGGGAAGAATATGTGAGAATAAGAGGAAACAAAGGAATAATGGAGAAAAGCACACATCAGTAGCTTTATAATTTGTATACTTAATATAATGGTGTAATGGTCATTAACCCTTTCAGTCATGTATGTGGTGTAGTGACCCTGTTATCCATCTACAGGTGACAGTTCTAAGGAAAGCCAAGAGATGGCAGTAGCTTGGAGCTGGTGCCATTTGTTCCTATGACATGGGAAATTAAAACCTCACATAACAAATAAATGTTCTGCTGACCTGTTAGGAGCTCCTAGTGAAGGCACAAACATTTGTATTTTGACCCTGAAAAGGCTGAATCGAGACATTAAATTAGTATCACGCAGGGAGAAATTGCATATAGTGTTTTGGTTGGAAAATATCGAGTAAATAGACCAATTATGAAATTGAGGCATAGGCTAGGGTTAAGGTTAATACAGATTTTAGAGAAATAGGTTGTGAGGATGTTAACTGGACTAAACTATCTCTGGATACAGTCCAGTGATGGACATTTATGAATGTGATAACAGGTTCCACAAAGTCAGAATCTGTTGATCATATGAGTAACCATCAACTGATAATGGTCTCACACCATGGGGTCAGTTGGGCCATTAGTTAAAGAGTCACTGTTGTGTTTAGTGAGCAGGGGAATGTTAATCTAAAAAGGGAGTATATTATTAATAAAGCAGCATTTAAAACTTTCATCTAAATGAGTAAATTTAAAGTGCTTCCACTTCCATCAAGAAGAAGTGTAATTATAGTTGGCTATCTTCTGGGTTGTAGCACTGTGTAGTCTGGTAGAAGTTTACCAACATTTCAGAGGTCCTTGCTGCCCCCATCATCAGGGCAATGAGTAAGCAAGGACCTCTGAAACACTGGTAAACTTCTACCAGACTACACAGTGCTACAAACCAGAAGACAGCCATCTTTGGACTCACTGCCATGAAAACCTCGTATCGTAGTAAGTGTACCTATGTTATAGTCCTGTGCGAGTAAAATGGAATAGAAAATTTGACTTCATACCTATGATATAATTGAAAGTAAAAGCCTGTAAGATGTAGTAGTCATTTGTAAATATAATACAAGCCATGGTGTTTCTCATTCCTCACTATTTCAGTGTATTCAAAGTTTTTAGGAATGAGTAGTGGTAGCACAGTTTGAAGGGCAGACAGAAACAAAGTTTCCATGACATTCATCTTTCAGTGATTCAGTGACCCTTCAGTATGGATAACACAACAGATTAGCATATTTGCATAGTCAGAGATATTTGGTCTAACAAAATAGTGGGATGTATGCCATGACAGAGAGGCATAATGCTGATACTGCTCTACACACAGATACAGTTACATTTGTGCATATGAACTCTTAATAATGCACATTTGCCAAACAGAACAGGATTAAGAATTTAGTTACTAATTTCAATTTTCTGGACTTTTTCAACCGTCGTTACGGTTCCTCAAAAAACACTGTTTATTGGGAGATGGCTCTTCCCCTGTCCTCAGTGAATGTACACAGTTGGACCAATTAGAAAAGCGCTCAATCAAGATTAGGCCCTAATCAGTAATTCAATACCATTATCAATAACATTTAAAAATTAATCAAGAATTTCCTCCTTTGTAGATCAGCCATTTTGATGATACACCCTTGTGGCCTAATGCTCTTGATATCATATACCTTATAATCTGTGTTTGTACATGAACCCCCACAACGGTTAAAACATGTCTCTTTTACTGTGATGAGGTTTCTGTACCCTAACCCAGAAGTCACTATCCACTTATATGAACCATTGTTTCACTGCTCTTTGCATGTCATCACCTGTTTTAAAACTGCACACTCCCAAATATTGCTTCACCTATTTCTAGTACTGAAGCAACATCTGGAAGGCTAACAAGATGTGGAAGCAGCAGTGAAACAATGGCTGAAAGGACAGGACGAGGAATGTCCTATAGTATGATAAGTACCTCAATCTCCATGGGGCTGTATAATAAAATAATGTACACTTCATGCAGTGACATATCCATACTGAACAACTGGTGAATCAATTCAGGAACCTTGTAATCTTACTTTCTGACTGCCCTTTATAAAATAACCATAGAGGCTCAGCTTATGAAGTGATTTATTCTAAGCAAGCCACTGGAAGTTTATGATTTATACATTGGTCTGACAACCTTTATTTAGTCCCAAAATCTATGAAGTGTAAAACTTTGCTTTTAAGACCTGTGTATGCATTCATGGTGCTTAGGCAAGGGGTCATTTGATCTTTACTTACTGTATGAGCATTCCTTTGTTATATTTCCAGTTTCATTGTAGGTATCAGTAGCAATTCCTAGATGGCCTGTTACTCTATACTTCTTCTTTCCATGTAGGAATTTGGGGAGAATCTTGCATCCAGAGCCAACACCAACAACTGGAATACATGATCAACAACCCTTTGCATGATATGAACACGCTATATAACATTAACTATGGGCACTTCTGCTAAAATTGGAATCGAACAAGAAACTGGGTGAGTGAAAGTTTGTTGCACAGAGACAAATGTAAGCCTGATGCTGTGATTTTGCTACTACTAGAACTTTTTCATGCATTGCAATGGTAAGAAAATCATGTAACTGACTATTATTATCAAAATACATATAGAGGTTTCTCAGAGTGATTAAGTCAATTACATTTTGCTATATTTAATGAGCCAAAGTGGTTACAACAGTGAAATAACTAATGATATGTACAGATACACTTGAAGTTTACTGCCATAGCCCTAAGTGTAAGATGATGAGTAACAACGAAAGCCAAGTAGGTTCTGTGGTTTCACAGATTTCACTGTAGTTTAGCACCAGTTCCAAACAAATTGCAGAGAAAACCACCTTGAAAGGAGTGAACCAGTTACTGGGATGACTACTTTGTGATGAAAGGCTGCATCTGCCAAGGAGACAAGAGCTCCTGCCAGTCACCAGTAGGTGAACAAATAGTGGAACAGAGCAGCATTTGTTTAATGCCCAAGGGAGTCAACCAGAGAATTTTACAAAGTACCATTTGGAGAGACCACCATAAAAGGCTAAACTTTAAAGCTCACAAGGTTCAGTTGCTGCAGGCCCTTTCAGAAGAGAACAAGGTGAGAAGAGTGGCATCTAGAGAGAACTTCATCCAACAAGTGAAACAAGACAAAACACTTGATTTACCTTCAGCAACAAAGGCACATTTCATGTGAATGCATCTGTAGTGAGAATCCTCACATCAGTGTGGAAGTCCAGCATGACTTGTCAAAAGTTTTTTTTTCAAGATAAAGTTATACAGTCTGTTCATCACAGAAAATTCCACTTCTGATATGGACTTTCCTGGTCTTTTACTGTTACAGCAAGACCCATTTCAGTTTGGCTTTGAGAGCATTTATGGATGAGCAGCTTCCCAGAAGTTGAATAGAACATGGGGAACCAACGTCTTGGCCACCAAGGTTTCCAGACATGTCACCTCTGAACTTCCTTTTGTAGAGTTTCATCAAGGACCACCTTTACACACCACCAATGTGACAGTCCTTAGCAGAGTTACAGAAACAAATTTGAGATGCAACTCCACTGTTGCACAGCACAGTGGAAATGATTTCAGTATAACCTACACACTTGGTGCCTGACATGTGGTGCACACATGGATCATATGTAAACTTGAAGTGTTTCTGCACATCTTAAGTTATTTCAGTGTTGCAACTGCTTTGGTTCATTAAATATAGCAAATCATAATTATCTCCATTATTCTGAGCCACCAGTATATAGGATTTGAGGTTTTCATGGCTGTCTTCTGGGTAGTAGTGCCATATAGTGTGGTAGAAGTTTACCAGCATTTCAGAGGTCCTTGCTGTCTCCATCATCAGGGTGATGAATCCCTTCTTGGCTTTATATTCACTGTCATAAGACAACAATATTCCTCAACAGTGTGATTTTGCAACTTACAAGGAGATGTCATCAGGCTTGCATTTGTTTATACTTTAAGTTTTCCCTTTGAAAAAGCTACAGTATAAGTTAACATGGCAGTTGGTTAAGGTCAATGGCTGATTGGTCATGTTTGTGAAATGGTGATGTGTGGATCTAAGGTTCAGACCCTTCTGGTCTTTTTATCCTCAGTGAACATTACAAAATAATCATGACTTGTGTATTTCAATTTGTTCTGTGTGTAACATGTTGATAAACACATATCTCCAGACTTATATATCACTTGTCGGTCATTTATATTGTGTGAATATATATAGGTAGCCCTCGATTTACGC